CAAAACAATTCTGAAAGCAATAAGGAAGAACACCAGTAACAGCTGTTAATGGTTAACCGCTAGTGGAACTCTAGGTCGAGCACGACAGCAGTAACATATGCAGAGATAACGATGGCGATTACGAAGACAGCCTCGAAGCAATTTCTGGGAAGTTAATATACGGTTAATTAGTGGAAGTTTAGAAGGATCTCGACTGGCAGTTAGCAGACAGCCCGGAAGGACTGTTGCCAATTTCCAGTGTGGAAAGATATTCGACCACAGATGGAGTTAACAACACAGCCAAATGTGGTGCGCACTGATCGCGACAGCAATACAAATAGACTTCCCAAGTTCAAAATAACAGGAAATATTTTTTTTGTAGGCAAAATGACCAGCTAAAGAAAAGCTTTCAAGCGTGCAGCTGAGTCGGAATCACGCGAACGCTGAAAAACTGCAATGAAATTTAGAAGCTGATCAAAACAAGAACAGGGCATTCACTACAACAACAACAACCGCGAAGACTTTGGGAACCCAGAAAGTAATCGCAGCAGTCAAGCATGGCACAAAGGACAGCAAAATGATATGGTTTCCGTAATTTTTTCTTCTCCGCATTAAATAAATACCTCGTGCTTAGCATCAATCGCAAATCCACTCTTTTCGGGAATATTCGCGCCTGCAAAAATGCTCCAGGAGAGCACCAGCCCTGCCGCAAAATCAGCATAAAGAAACTGCTCCTCGCCGTCATTTACAAAGAAGTGATGTATTATTGTCAGTCTGAAATAGTTACCTCATGCCTCTAAGGTCAACGAGCAGCAACCAACACAAAGTGAAGAGCGCTGCAGACGGCTCAATGCCCCATTCACAGTATTTTCAATTTTTTTAAAGCGATGCTGAAATTCCATTCGCAGTTCCAACAAAGATTTGCTTGGATTGAGGAGGGGAGGAAGAGGGAAGCAGAGCAAGAGGAGGCGGGGAAAGTAAGCTTCTTTCACACAAAGCACGTTTATCAGCTTGGCACCAGGACGACAGATTTCGTCGACGAAGCCAGGATGGGCTCAGAATGTTGCTAAAATGTTAAATAATGAAAATGGTGCGAGACTGTAAAAGAGGGTAGTGTCAGATTTGCATATGCGCATCCTTCGTCAGAAGCTGGATGCAACACTGACCAGAAGTGGTCAGGAAGAAATTAAAAGGAAATAAAAAGAACTCAACGTTTCATCAACCAAAGCCCGGCCAATTGCATGATTTGCAGTGGGATCAATCGAACTGAGGAATGAAACCAATGCGCTGACATTGACAGCTGTGTCCGGCTCACAGATGAATAACCAGTCAAAAGATGTGCTGTTGTAACGGACGAACAGACTGAAATTACAGCAGCTTCACATTCCCAAATCGACGAAGAACTACTGCGATACTCTTAAGCCTAAGCTTGACCCAGCTGAAATACACCTACAAACTGCGTCTTGTCTGCAACTGCAAAAA